AAAAAAAAAAAAAAACGTATATGAAAATTATTACTAAATTCTCAGATGACATTTTGTTTTAATGCGTTCTACCTGAAAATTTTATTGACCAAGATTTAGGTTCTATTGAAAATACTAGCAAACCTTGAATTTGGACCCATATTTGTAATCACAAATTCTGTTGTGAGGTGGTCAAACGATTAGCTATCGGCTATATATATATATAATACAAATTAATTTATATGTTGAGATGATAATTTTTTTTAATGTTATTTTGTATAATATGTCATGAAAAATGCTATATTTACATAATAAATGTACATAGAGGTGTACATAACTCTCACATGATGTGGGATTCACTTGATTTTTTATTTTTGATGAGTACCACACAATGTGAGTATTATGTACACCCTTATGTATACTATTATGTACTTGTAGCATTACTCATATGTCATTTCAGCATGAAGTATGCATATATGTGCAAGAAAAGTTTGAAATCAAATGCTTGAAACTTCCAGATGTAATATGCTAATTGCTAAGTTAGATATAACTTTTCATATGTAACTGACTGGAATCAAGATATGCTTCTTTATGCATTTTATTTTATTTTCCTATAGGATGAAACTAAAAGACAATCAAATGAGCTGCAATTCAGTAGTTTGTTTTCATATGTTTTAACTCTTAATTAACTTAATTTTGTAAATGGAATAAGTCTATACATACTATTATTAAAAAAAAGTAAATAATAGAGACCTCCCCAAAATTGAGGTCCTAGGCAGCTGCCTCTCTTGGCTGGCCCAAGAGCCGGCTCTGCAAATGCACAGTAAGATCACAAAGTTCACAGCCTCAGAAGCAATATGACTAATTTATTATAGAATGTGCAACTTCAAATTGTAAAATCATTTTCGATCTCTTGATCCCAACTTCAGAAGCAATAGGACTAAACGATTTTGCTATGAAATCAACAGTTGGCTCCATAGAAGAGTCAACCTTCTATATGTAGGGTGTGCAAATTCAATCCCAATTCGAAAAATTAAAGGTTCCAAGTCCAATATATAAGTTTGGTGGACTACTCTTTCTATTGCCAATTGATTTTACAATGGAACCCTTTTTGAGCTTGTATGTTGGGCTTGATGGAGAACTGTGCTTGAGTTGTGTTGGTCCTAACAATTGGTATCAGAGCCACGGTTGATAGCCTAGTTGCGATATGGAGCCAACGTATATAGAAAGTTGGCTCCACTATGAAACCAACTGTTGGCTTCATAGTAAAACTGTATGACTAAATTATTATAGAATGTGCATCTTTAAATTGGTATACCTCTTATAATTCCACTTGTGGGATTTAGTATTATCATGGGAGTTTATTATTATAGTTTTTTAGTTTTTAGTCTTGTAGGTGCGTTTAGTATTGATATAGGATAATATACACACAAGGCTAAACCAGTATGTTGAAGCGGTCGAAGGGGCTGTATTGCGAAGACGCCAGGCCATGTGGTGGGAAAATCGACCAGTCGACCAGTCAAGCAGTCGACCAAATCATCATTCGACCGGGTCAACGATCGGGCAGGTTAGTCGACCTCAACAGGTCGACCACTTTGCGGACATAGCGCTTTATGAATCGGCCTAGTCACAGGCGCGTGTAAGAGCCCCTAACTGAATTTTAAGAGAATATTCACTCTATGTGCAGAAGGACACGTGTCGAGAACACATTGGTTGATAGCGACAACCACCTATGACAACGCCCAACGTCCTGCGCCACCTCTGACATGCGCGCGGTGTGTCAGAGTACGGACGAGCACCTTGGGCAGCCAGCTCACCAAATCCGGGCAGCCTTAGGTCAGGTATCTCACTCCTATATAAAGGGGGTGAGCCTTTCTTCCTAAACACGATTTTTCCATTATTCAACTCCAGTATACTCATACACATACTGACTTAAGCATCAGAGGCTCTTCACCAGACACAACCCCCGGTGTAAGAGTTATTTCCAGGTTTCCGGCGTTCTACCGGCGAGGGCGAGGTTCGATCCATCCTAAGCCGGGCCAAGACGCTCACACTTGCATTAAGTATATAGTTGTATAGTTGTATTAGATGTATAGTTGATTTCAAGATTTTGTATGTTCGATTTCATTGAACTTTAGATGTATAGTTGCTTTCAAGATTTTGTATCTTCGATTGCTTTGAATTTTAGATGTATAGTTGATTTCAAGATTGTTCGTGTATCATCTCATGTCGTTCGTCATCATTTTTCGAAACACGTATAACATATCCAACAATCGTAAGATGAAACCTAAGTCACTGAACATAATTGTTATTTAACTATTTTTTTTATTAAACGATAAACTTTGATAAAAAGGAAAACAACATGTAATTACATCTAAAAACTGGCCAAGAGCCGAATTTAGTCGGAGGACATCCCCAACGAGAGCCTAAGCTACCACAACACACCCACAACAACTCAAAAAAATAACTCCCAACAGGAGAATACGCAGAAAACTCCCAACAGGAGAATACGCAGAAAACTCCCAATAAGAGAATACATAGATCACAACAGGATAATAAACAAACACAAACAGAGAAACACATAAAAAACACAACCTGCACCCAAAACAACCTAATAACAAAAGGATTATAGCCCTTCCCGCAGACGGACAACGCACCAAGCAACACGACCACGACACACAAAGCCAACCGCCTATACAGACCAAATCTCGCCTCTAGTTTTAGAACCAGAAACTGCAACGTCAGCCCAATTGGAACTAAAACCTACGAACTCGAAACAAACGTCCAGGCAACCGACCCTACCCCCAAGCCGAAGGAAAAAGCCGGACAAACACCCCACGACAACGCCACCGATCCAAATCCAACCCACACCACGGCCCAACTCGTCTCGCCGGCCGTCCCTTCGGCCCACGCACCAAGGGGAAAAGGGACAGAGGGCTGGGTCGACCCACCTCAGACCCAACCACCAATAAGGTCGTCAGGTTCGCCACCCAACCCATCAGCACCTCCGCCGTTATTTGAACTAAGTTACTAGGCATCTTTGGTTATTTTGTCTACTTATACATGCTTTCGACATAAAGCATGTTGTAAAGTTTGTAGCACAATTTGAGTAAAAAACACACAAGGAGATGAGGGAGAGAGGACAAAAAAACACAATAACCCATCAACACATAATAATTGTTATTGTTATTATATATAATAAAGCAGCACATTTTACAAACTTACAATAATAAAACGGTACAAGACAAACAGAATATGATTTTTATTGACTACACCACTTAAAAACAGTTTTGGCTACTATATACATTCTTCATATACTTAGCTGTAGCATTTTAAATTATACAAAGGCTACAAATGATTAAAAGCACAAGTGCTTTCATTTGATGATCTCAATGATCACTTCATAATAACACAACATATATAATCTACAAGTGAAATATAAAATAAATAAAAAAAAAAAAAAAATCCTCAAGTGGCAGCATTTGTGCAATGCTGTCCAAACACCTATATATGCCTCCATATTTAAGACAATCTTTCTTATTCTTTTCCTTTTTGTTTTGTTTTTAATAAGCATTACTTAGTTGTGTATAGGTGGTTTTCTTATTGCCAGAGAGTAATCCATCCCAGCTATGTCTAAATCCCCCGAATAGGTTTCGGGCGAAGAACTAACTGAGATATTATTTGCGTCTTTGCCTCCTATGTTTTGGTTAGTTGTGGAGACTTTCATCTTGGGACGGTTTTCTTCATTTTCGTCCTTCTGTAAATAAACCGCGCAAAACCATGTAAGCAAAATCTCGTATTTGCATATCGTAAGAGGACTAACGCAGAAACTATTGTTAGTCCTCTAGCGGTTCAAAGTTAGTTATGCAAGTAAATTTTTTTAGGTGAAATCGTCGATATTTCTGAAAACAACGTAAATATTTGTCGACATTTCTTTAGGATTTTATACGATGTCGCGAAAAGTTTGTATATTTGCGCGAAAAGTAATGTTATTATTATTGGCCATTATATATAGAAGTACACTACTAAAGCAGCCAACCTTGCCGATTGTGGTAAAACTCATCATTGTTAGTTTTCTAACCTTTCCTGCAAACAATTAAACAGAATATGATTCAGATAAGTATATGTTCCGAGACGAGTAATTTCAGATTAACACGGCAGTTTTTTCTTCATTTCGATGTAAAAAACGTGCTACAACTCGAGAAAGT